AGAAATAAGACTACTAGTTAGTAATAAATTATGTGCAAGTCACTCCTGCACCCGGTATTTTCAATCACTTCAGTATTTTTATACCAAAAGAGAGAGAGAGAAAGAAAAGTGTCAGAAATGAAGCATGAAAAGCTATTAACTGAATCATTCACACATTGAATAGATGTTGTTGTCAGTTTGTTCTTTCAACAGAAATAATGAACAACTGATTTATTTATAACTGGTAATTATAATACACTTTCATTTTCTATCCTTTTCAGCATATTATAGATATTTTATAATTGTCTTATTTCATACATGGCCTAAAATTATATGCTTCCAAGAAATCTTTTTTTCCCTCACAGGCTTTCCTGAACTTTGGTTTCGATTTTAATTAAAAAAAATGTATTGATACTGACTTGAATCCTTGTCTTATTTTATTTTAATATTTTTGTCTTTTCCTGTGGCTTAATTTCATCCGTAACTTGAATTTATGCAACTTAAGGCTGAAAAATGTATTTTAAGTAGATTCAGAATCCATTTGTGTAATCACTACAGAATGAGTTTTGTCAGCCATTTGGTCGTGTTTGCCTCATTTTCATTGTGAGATAGAAGGAAATGGAGGAGGTAAAGCAAGATAAAGGAGGCTGACTTGTATTTTAGAGAAAAAAAAAATTTCTCTTTATAATCAAGGCAAGATGTCCCTCAAATACACAGCACCCACTCATGCACACATACACACACCCATAGTCACAAATTTTTTTTTCAGTACAGAGAGAAATAGTAACTTAGAACCTTCTCTTTCCTCTGTGGTCAGTATTGCCCTCTCAGGCATTCAATAAATGTTCTATTGTACTGCAGCAAATTCTAATTGCACTGGATCTTGACCTCAACTTCTACTACTGGTCTGTACAAGAAAAAGTCTTTGAGCATTTACATTTAATGTAAACAAAATACATCCATCATCTCATGGAAGATTTTTTATTGCGGAATATAACATACATGGTGGAAATTTTTGCAAAATATAGTTGTTTATCTCAGCTCAATTTTAGAAAGCAAACACCCATGTTCCCAACATCCCTATGAAAAACATAACAAAGACGTTCTTAGAGAAAGCCCTGAGTATGCGGCCCTTACTTAATTTTCTGCTCCCCTCCCGGCTTGCCCTTCTTTCTCCCCTTGCCAGCTCCAAAGCCTTTAAGCATCAAAAATGTCTGGCCCTACACCTTTGTCATGAGACTTTTCTTAATAACCTGTTTGTTCTGCTTGTCTTGTACATCTGTTTTCTATATCAATTTGTCGATTTAGGCTGGTAATATGCTTCCAGAAACTTGTCCGTTTCTTCTAAGTTTTCAAATTTATTAGAGTATTGTTCCTTGTAATAGTGTGTAATTATATTTTTAAATTTTAGTTGACTCGGTTGTGCTAGCAACCATTTCATTTCTTATTCTTAATATTTTCTTTTGCTTTGTTAGCTTTTCCAGTGGCATAAAATTTTCTTAATCCTTCCAAAGACAACTTCTTGTCTTTTTTTTGTTCCTGTTTTTAGCTGTCATGTATTTGTACTCCAATCATTGCTGTTTTGTTTTCCTGTGGACTAAGGACTTGCTCTGGTGCTCTTGCTGTAATTGCTGTGTGTCACAGTGAACGTGTTGAGTTTTGCTCTTCTTTTCAACGTGTGCACTTATTTCTACAAATTGCCCTTTGCGTATCCTTGGCTATGTCTCAAAGGTTTGGGGATGTTGGCTTTTTTGTGCTCATTTGTTTCAGTTTTTAAATTGCACTCTTTATTTCTTCAATTATCAAGTGGTTTTTAATAAGGTGTTCAATTACTCTATAGTTGAATTTTGTTTGATCTATTATTTATTTATTATTTTAAAGCATTGTGATCTGAAAGGATGATTTGCAGTATCTTAATGTTTCAAAACTTATCGACACTTTAAGCGTAGCCTCACATGTGTTCTATTTGGGCGGAGGTAATGTGTGAGCTGGAACAGATGTACCCAGTGCTATAGTTGGGTGAAGTACTCATCAATCTGATTAATTGTGTTGTTTAACTTTTCTGTATCTTTGATGATTTTCTTTCTAGTTTATCTATCTTTCCTAAAGCATGAAATATTGAAGTCTCCTAATATTTTCTATTTGTCTCTTCAACTCTGTGTTTCATTAATGTATTTTGACGGTTTTCATTTTGTATATAGATGTTTATTATAACATCTTTTTGTCAGTTAGGGTTTTAATCATTTTATAATGTCATATTTGTCTGTTTATGGCTTGTACTTTGACATATATTTTATCAGAAATTAATATTGTTATGTTTTTTTATTACCTATACATGGATATAATTTTCTTAACTTTTATTTTCAGGGGTTTTTTTGTGTGTGTGTGGCTAAAATGAGATTTTTGTAAGCAGAATATTAATTGGTTTAATTTTCTTATGCATTCTACTAATGTCTATCTCTTAACAGGTGAGTGTAATGCATTTGCATTTAATGTTGCTATTGATAGGTATGATTTTATTGCTGTCATTTTGCCATATTTTTGTGTGGTGTTATTGATTTCTTTGTTCATCATAGTTTTCTATGCTGATTTAAATTTATTTGATCATTGAATATCAATGGTCCTTATGTTTTTACATTTTGGCATATGACTTACATTCCATATAATTCAATGATTTGAGTACATTAAAGAGTTGTGCAATCATCACCACAATCAATTGTAGAACATTTTCTTCATTTTTGTGCTCATTGTTATCAGCTGCTTATCTCTCCAAATTACCCCTAACATTACCCTAAGAAATTATTATTATAGTAATTAAATGCATAGATTTACTTGTCCTGGATTTCATATAAATAAAACTGTGCTCTCCAGAACAAACCAACTACAGTAACAAAATAAAATGTGGAAAAATACCAATCCAATATAAAGCAGACATAATAAAACTAGAGCAAATTCAAATGAACCCAAAGGGGGAAAAATAGATGTTAAAATTTAATTTAATTACGTATATATCTGCATTAATTCACTTTCTGGTGTACTTTGTCTAAGGGCAAGGCTACCCACATCATTGTTAATGGTTCAAAGAAATTCAATGGAGGCTTAACCACAGGGGCCTCTACATGTGGATTTGGGGCTTTCACTCTGTCATTCATAACCTTCTATACATCGGGTACTGTGATCATTTAAATTTGTTTGTGGATTTTCTTGCCACTTTTCCCTGGGCTTTTTGTTTGCTGTTGTTGTTTATGTTTTACTGTTTAGTGGGTTTTTATAGTTTTCTCCTCTTTCATTTTGTTGATGTTTTACATTTCTTTAATGTTAGTTTGATTTTTATGATTTTCTTTCCAATTTAAGGCAGTTTGTTTTCTTTTGTGAACTACTTGACTTCTATAGTCATCTATTTTATATATATTTTTAAGCTTTTTAGAAGCAAGGATCCCGAGACTTTGCCTCCTGTATTTTGGACATGTTATCAAGAGAGATCAGTTCCTAAGAAAAGAAAATCATGCTTGGAAAAGCAGGTGCCAGCAAAAAAGAGGAAGACCTCAACTAGACGGATTGATGCAGTTGTTGCAACAATAGGCTGAAACACAAAAACAATGATAAGGATGGTGCAGGGTCAGGGAGTGTTTTGTTCTGTTGTACATTGAATTGCTGCTAGTCACACCTGCCTAGCGGCATCTAATCACAACAAACAACTATTGTCTTTACTACTTTATATTGTCTTTATTGCTGAATGTTATTTCTGGCCCCTTATGAATGTTGTGGTTTTTCTTGTCACCTTTTCCTTATAGGTTTATGAACCTTATAGTTTGTTACACTTTGTGTATTATTCGAGTGGTTTGATTTCCCATTTCATTCTCTTATATTGTTGATTATCTGTCCAAAGAATTCTCTTTAGTATTATAAGATTGGTCTCGTTTTCACAAATTCCTTTAGTTTTATTTTGTCTGAAAAAGTCCTTATTTAACAATTGTCCCACATATTTGAACATTTCAAAAGGTCCATATTATTCAAATTGCCCCTTGTCGTTGAGGGGTCATTTTGCTGGGTATAAGATTATTGGTGGCTTTCTTGTTTTGTCTTTCAATGTTTTATATTTACTGTTTCATCACCTTCTTGTCTGCCTGGTTTCTACTGAAAATTTTGCTTTTATTCTTACTAGTTCACCTCCCCATAGGTCAATCTTCTTTCATCTCAAGTCACTCTACAGATTGTTGCCACTTTTTAATGTTATAAAGTTTAACAGTGATGTGCTCTGGTGATATTCTTTTGAGGTTGCCTCTATTTGGGGTTCTTTCAGCTTCTTGAATAGTTATTTTCTGTTCTGTCATGATGGTAGAGACATATTCTTTCAATATTTTTGGACTATTTTTCTGTCTTGTTGTTTGTTGGTTTGTTTGTTTTCTGGAACGCTTATCAGATATAAGTTGGTCCTTTGGATAATGTCCCATAGGTTTTCTTTGGCTTTAAAAAAAAAATGGATTGCTCTTCTTGGGGTATAGTTTTAAGAAGTTTAAATGTGAGCTCACTGATTTGAGCTTTCGTTACTTCAATTGTGCTTTTTGTTCTTTCAGAGTGATATCCAGTATCTTATTGTTTGTCTTCTGGATATGTATATTGGGAGATGGGGAATTATTCCCAATAATTTGTTCATTTGTTTTGTCAGATGGTTCTAGTACTTTTGTTCTCTTGTCTAGTTTATTTTTCCATATTTCTGAAAAATGTTCTATCCAAACATTTAAAGCAGTGCACAGGATTCTTCTGAACTCTGTCATGGGAAGCTCTAATGCCTTTTCTTTATCGTGACATTCTTCTTTTCCTGTGTCTGTGTATGTGTTTTCTCATATGCACTGAAATTGCCTGTTGTTTCTGAAACAGGCTGTTGTTTTCATATTTGCCTCTTCGGTCAGGTGGATTAGAGTGGATATGACCCTCTGTGCACTACTTGCCGTTGTTGAAGGTTCAAAGGCAGCTGCGTTATTGGCAATAGCCTACTCCACATAGGGATTGATAACAGACAAATGTTATTTCCTGTCAAGGTCTCAGTCTCGAGGGTGGCCTATGCTATTGCCAGGAGGTCCAAGTCAAGGACGGAAACACCTGTAACAAAGGGAGCAAATGAACAATGTCTGAGACCAGCCTCCTAACCACAGGAACTGTCTTTATTGAAGCCGACCGACATAGCAGGGCCCAGGGGAAATTTAAGGTCTCCCTTACTAACAAGGGCCCAATATGTGGTCTCTGTGTTTCACAGTCTCAGGGCTTCAGGTAATGTATTTTGTTCTCTCTTATGCTAATTTTCTCCAGGCAGATTCAATCAATTTCACCCTCCCCAACAGCAGCCTTTTCTCCTCCCGCCCCACTTATGTGGGTTAAGGGAAGACACGATCCTTTGTGGCCTTGGCGTAAATCTCAGGGTGCCTTCAGGTTGGGGAACAAGTGATCAGCTCACTTCTTTCTCGTTGCCAATGCCATGAACCAGAGTATTGTATGAAAGGGTTGAAGAGTAGTGTCTTAACGGCTCTGCTGAGAATACATAGCCACATATTTTGAGGATATAAATATTTTTTAAGAACACAAGGAACACATTTCAGAGCTTGCAACAAAGAAACATTGGAAAATGGTTAATGTCCAGCATGAAATTTGAGACCTGTAAATCTTATAACCTTCTCTTGTCACAGCTCAGGGCTAGATTTCACTCAATAAGATTACAGAATCATTATGTAGCTTTATGTTTGGTTAAAATTTTTCTTTATTTCCTCCTTCTAATTCTAATTTGTTAACTTTATTTCATATGCCTTTAATTATAAGTAATCTCAAATTATTTGGGGAAGTAAAATAAACAAATACACTAGCATGTTATTTTCTTTTTTTTTCTCAGATTTAATTTATTTATAATTTTCCCAAATTAAATACAAACATGGAGTTTCAGCTTTGATGTTCTACCCTCAAGGCTTCTTGCAGCAGTCCACAACTTTCATTCTTATAGCAATGGAGAGTCCCTGGTTAGTGCAATATTTAGATCTGCTGATGATTAAATGGTTGCCTCTCTAGTCTGCCCAGAGACTCCACAGAAGAAAAGACTGGAAATCTAATTCTGAATTATCATCCTCTAAAAATTGGGGAAGACAGTTCTACTCTGACACACATTGTTTATGTATGAGTCAGAATTACTTTAACTTTAATGTTAACTACCATATATACTCGTGCATAAGCCAAGTTTTTTCAGCACATTTTTAATGCAGTTTTTTTGGTAAAATTAGGTGTCTCAGCTGATATTTGGGCTGGCTTATACTCAAGTATAGACGGTACTTTTTAAATTGTAATAATGGCACTGCTTCAAGTCTGGGTTGTTAATGTGCAAAGACCTGGGTTTAGAAAACCTGAAGGAGAAAACAAGCTCAACATTTCTCAAGCTGAATGAACTAAAGAAAAAAGTCAAAATTAAAGCTATTATATGAAGGATCTCATGGGAAAAATACTGAACAACTCAAGAAGCATTGAAAGAAGATGGAAAGAATATACAGAGTTACTATACTAAAAGGAATTGATCAGCACTCAACCAATTCAAAAGAGAGCACGTGATCAAGAAACAATGGCATTAATGATGGAAATCCAAAATGCACTGAAGGCATTGCCAAAAGGTTCCCAGAATTGAAAGATTACAAAAACGAATGTTCCAACAAAGAGATGAAATGCTGGAAGCAATAATTCATCTATACAAAGAAATGGCCAATCAACTAGAATGCAGTTATTATGTAACAATACCATTATACCACACACAAGTAAAATGTTGATGGTGATAATACAAAAGAGGTTACAGCAACACACCAACTGGGAACTTTGTAAAATTTAAGCTGAATTCTGAAAATAACGTGGAACAAGGAATATCACTGTTGGTGTCAGTCAGTTTGGAATAAAAGTAGAAAAACCCAGAAACCTGTTTACCTATATGTTACTGACTTTTACACAAAAGTATAAATGATAATGTGTATCATAACTATGGATAATTTTGCAAAGAACAGAAATTCAAGAACAAGTAACTGTTCTCGTGTAGAAACTATAGAAACATCTGAGTCTAAGAAAAGTTAGATTTTGAAGTCTCAATGGTGATTCTACTCCAAGAATTCTCTAATACCCTACCCTATGTTTGTCAACTCAGAACCTCCAAAGTTTTCTCCCAAAGCCCAGGTTATATCCATCTCTGGCCCAATATCTGACCAAATTCAAGATTATAGCAACACCATTTATGTACATATGCCTCACCCAAAGACTTCTTGGAAACAATCTGTCAATAGTGTAAAGGATATAATTAGAATCATCCAAATGATCATAAGAATGACCACAGGAGAAATTAGGGGGGAGGGTGGTGATAGCTTCCACAAGCGTGCTATAAAAACTAAAATTACTGCCATCTAGTGGATGCTGACCAGAGGTCAGGGTCCTCCGAGCTAATGAGACTGTAACCCTTTATGGGAGTAGAAAAATCACATCTTTCTCCTAGAAGTGTGTTATAGATGTTATCTTTTTCAATAACAGGTTTTATACAAATAATTTTAAAGGATTCTATAAAAGGAAACAGTTTAAGGTCATGGGAGCAAAAATTGTGTCTTCAGACTTTGCACATAGAAAAGATCTCTCTTGTAAGCCAGAACTGCTTCTTTAGTAGTTTTGTAAAATAGTAACTATGAAAGCCAGAAGCTTGTCACAGAAGATAAACTTCTATGTTTTTCACTTAAAGCAGCAACAGGAAATAAGTAAGATTGCATCCTGTCCAAGGCAGAAGACTTGTGGAACCCAGGAAAGCCAGGCAATCCCCTTGAATTCTAGTTTCCCCAGGTTTTATTGTGAGATACATTCCAGATCAAATATTCAAATAAAAATTTATATAGATTTTACAGCTAAATCTTTTCTGCTTTCTCATCTACTTTATTTCTATTTATAGTCTTTCTAAATATTCATATACTTCAGAGATTTTCACAAAAAATTTTATAAAATTACTCTTTCTCCCCTAGCATGTTAAAGATCAATGAACCAGATCCAATAAGATGAGTCAACTATTCCCTATATGTAACTCCTGAAGTTGTATTAATTTCATTTGCTGAAGTGGTATAATAATTTACTATAAGTATCTTAAATTACAGCATTTGAAAATTAGCCAAGATTTAATACTTTCCCCCAAAGCAGATGAATCCTGAGACTGAAATGCATAATATACCTCTGACAGTGCTTAAAATTCTTCCAAGGAATGACTTATTCATACGATAGAATGTAGGCCATTTGCTCTGAGTGGCGACCTACAAGAACAATGAAGAACCTTTCATTGCCATTGGAATAGTACTATTAAAATTATATAAATATGTAAAAGTAAGCGAATTCAATGTCTAGGGACCACCACAAATATAGACCTTGGTTACCTGTTCTTAATTTTTTTTAAAAAAGTCATTTTCTTATATGTAGACTTGGTTCTAGATTCTCAAAATTAGCTCAAATGCCTATCAAGAAATTGCAGTTGCATCTTAGCATCTGAGAGCAATCAATATTAGATGATTATATAAATGAACCAAACAAAGAATATCAGAGAACTCAGTAATGCTTAGTACAACAAGTTCAGTAAATCTGACGGTGCCAAAACTCAACATGAATTGAGATCTGTTTCAGAACTCAATATATGCATAAGTATATTATTTTCATGTCTGATATAAATCCATGAAATAACAGAAACAAAAGCTTAAAATGTTGTAAACAGACATTATTTAGTATGCATATAGTTGCATATGCTGCTGTTGCTGTAATTGCCATTGAGTCAGCAACTATTCATACAAATCTTATATATAACTTAAAAAATATGTAGATATATAAAGTATACAGATATATATAAATTATATCTATATATATACATATATCTGTATAAATATATGTGTGCACATAGACACATACATGAGAGTATACCCTAAAAAAAAAAAACAGAATTATTTTTTAACCCAAAGCTATGTCTTTAAATTTTATATGAAACAACCTTATAACCTCAAAGTACTCTCCATTATGCTTAATACATTTGTCAAATCTGGGAGTCAATTCTTGGAAACATTTTTCAAACACATCTGTTTGGATGGCTGACAGCATCTCCCTTGCTTTTTTCTTCACCTCTTCTATGCCATCAAATCGCTGTACTTTCATGTCCCTCTTCATTCATGGAAACAAAAAGAAATCACATTGAGCAAGGTCAGGTGAGTAAGGTGTGTGGGGAAAGAAAGGCATGCTGTTTTTTTGCCAAAAACTGGTGCACTGAGATGGCTGCGTGAGCAAGTGCATGGTCATAGTGGCAAAATCAGTCCCATGTCTGCCACAAATTAGGCCGCTTTTGTCATGCACTGTGAGGCAATCTTTTCAGAACCTCTAAATAGAAAGCTTAATTAACAGTCTGACCTGGTGGAACAAACTCCAAAGGTAGTATCACCCTCACATCAAAAAAGCAAATAAACATCGTCTTGATCTTTGATTTCACTTGATGAGCATTTGGGGGTAAAGACGATGGTGTGTTCCACTGGCGTGATGGTTGTTTGCTCTCCAGGTTGTAAGAATAGCACCATGTCTCCTCACCAGTAAGGACCGTGGGGGAAAGTCTGTTCCTTCAAAGTATGGCATGGTCCCAGTAAACAGCCTTTTTGCTGGTCAATCAGAACTCGAGGCACAGCTCTCTCAGTGACCCTTCTCATTCCCAAATCACCGTTTAAATTCACTGAACCAGGCTCTAAGATAGTCCGGATAACTTCCCCATCTCTTCAATGGTCTGTCGCCAATCCTTGAGCACAAGTGGATGAATTTTGTTGACATTTTTGTCCCTTCAGGGAGCTGACAGATATCCAGAAGGAGATGTGTCATCAATAGACATTTCACCTGTTTTGAAATGAGAAAACCACTCAAACACTTGAGTGTTTCCCATAGTGCTGTCCTTCTATTCTGTGTTCATCATCGCAACAGTTTCTGCAGCATTTTTCCCAAGCAGGAAACAAAATTTCATAGCTGCACTCTTTCCTCTTAAATCAGCCATCACAAAAAAACGAGGTTCATTAGAAACTGCTTTTATGAAAAAAATT